AAAAACTATTATACATGTATAATTTATCGAAGACTGTTGATAGAACACCAGCGGAAACACCAGAACATATGAAAGACTTGATTGGAGGCCCCTTGGAAACACTAGAATTTATCAAAGACTGTTGATTGAAGACCCATAATAAAACTATAGTTAACGAAGTCTGATGATTGAACACCTTCAGAAACAATAGAATTTCATCGCCTGCAGAGGAAAATAAATTGTTCTGGACATTTACATACGTACAATAATTACATATATAAATGTTTACTGGATAATACTAATGCCATATATAAATATTTACGAGGCAACAATAATTACGTATATAAATATTTACTAGATAACAATAAATACATATACAAATATCTATCTAGGTAACAATAATTACGCATATAAATATTTTCTAGGAAATAATAGGTAACAATAACGACATATATAAATATTTACTATAGGTAACAATAATTACATATATAAATATTTACTAGGAAATAATAAGTAAAAATAATTGCACATATCAGTATTAGAATGTCAAAATTTTAAACAATAATAGGGGCGACAATCCTTATAGAATTTCGGAAAAGGCTAAAAGTTAATAAATAAAGCGTGTGAGCAATCAGGGGCAAAGACCAACAACGAGAACATTTGGCAGTACGAAGGGCTAAAACTGTACTATGATGAGTGCAGGTAAATGAAATGAAATGTTGTTTAACGCCCTAATATTCTTCTCCGACTGGGCTAATGAAGAAGAGCATAAGCATTACAGTTTGCTGTGTTGGGAGTTTTGCCTGGACAGTGGCGCTACGGCCAACTCTTATATCGAATTTCAACTGTCAAGGGATCTTTTACATGCACTTCAATCTGTACACAGGACGTCTGTTTTTCGTCCCAAAGGGGAGGCACGCTGGAAAATCATCCAGGTTTGCCCGGACAGCGGCACTACGGTCTACTCTTATTTCGAATACCCACTGTCAAGGGTTCTTTTACGAGCACGCCAATGTGTGCATCCTTGACCCTTGCAGGAACACCTCTCATCAAAGGCCAAAAAACACATATCTACGGCCACTGCCTTGGCAATCGATTTTGGCGCTTCGAAAAGATTAATGAAATTGTAGGAAATCTCTGATTTACATAGTTCTTCATAATTGATACAGTTTAGTAAAAAAAAAAAAATTGTTTATTATTGGCCAAGTTTATGCGCAAAATTTACATTGGCTCTGGTCAGCAAGTATATTTTTGAATTGAATTCTCTATTTTTAAGTGATTGGGTGTGGTCATAGTTTTCTTATAATATCTAAGGAGAGTTCGTAATAGTAAGCTCGTAATTTCGCTATTAACTTGCTGTTATCTGAGCTAGAGGATACGGAGAAGAAGGAGTTTAATTTTGATTAAGAGATTTCTTTATATTCTCTTAGAAAAATTTAAATCTTATTTGGAGTTTCGATATTAAATTATTGATTTCTCTGACCAAGACAACTTTTCAGATTTAGTAGATGAATTTAAATCTTCAGTATATAGGCTGCTGATAGTAGAGGAAATATTGTTGTGATTTATGTTTATCCATAATCAAATAAAAAAATATATTCAGTGGTTATTTAGAAGATTTCTGAAAACTGGTCCATATGGTACGAAAATTTTCAATATGATAATAAACATCTTTGCTCCAAATTTAATCAACTATCTCTCATGATTTTTTTTGGTTTGATATCTAGATAATTGATTATCTATGATAATTAAGTAATTCGTTTTGTTTTTGAAGCAAAAAGAAAAAAGAAAATAGAACTCAGTGCGCGTAAAAGATACGCTGACCGAACAGAATTCTTCGTTCAAACATTACAGGTTTACACGCAAATTAAATACGTTATAACTTTTACATGGAATTCAGTCCAAAGCCGAATGGGGTGGGGCTGCCATGGATTAGCCCTTAGGTAAAATATGCACGTTATAGTCGGCAAAACACATCTGAAATTTAAAGATGCACTATGTATACTAAATCTGCCTATTGCAGGTTTTCTTTTCTGGCTTGAAATGTTATATAAATTATTATTTAAACATTTATTAACATGACAAGCCCATAATCAACCCTCTCGACCATTGGGTGGCTCGTATTTTAAGTGGACCGCGGACATTTAAGAGTTTAATTGTTCTCGATTGTCAAGACCGTTCCTACGATAATAAACAATCTACGCTACATTTTGCACAGAATAAAGTAATTTGATTGAAATTTTCAACATATTCATTTTTCATTATGTATTTTTGAACTGTTATAGCAAGAACGACCATGGTGCTGTTTCACGAAATTTTAACTAAGATAAAATCCAAATTTTAGTAGATACTTCAATTTTGATTGACTCAGCACTAAAATCAATCTAATATTATCCAATGATAATATTAGATTGATTTTAGTGCTTAGCCAATCAAAATTGAAGTATCATCTTTAGTTAAGATTTGGAGAAACAGGGCCCAGATCCTTACATAATTCACCTTTAAGATAATTTTATTTGTAAAATCGTTCTAGTCAACAATCCTACCACGAGATATTACATCGATTAATTGTTCGTACAAAGTCATATGACTTCTTTTTTTTTTGTGCATTTATATCATATGACGCCAATAATATGACCACTTGTGGTTATATCATCTGTTTACTTGTTTCTTTATATATAAATCAGATAAGATGTTTACTTTATTGGGCATCATAAAAAAAAATCCATGCTGACCTTGATCAATGTAGAGCGAGGGAGAGAGAGAGAGAGAGAGAGAGAGAGAGCACGTCCTCTTGACACAAACTAAGTCATTTTGGGACAAAGATAATTATGGTTATTTTTTCTTAACTGGAGGGGCGGGGTGCAGAGGATCGTGGGGCCAGTGAGTGTCTAGTCGTTCGAATGGAACGAAAGACCAGGTGTACACGTTGGCGTGCACGTAAATGAACACTTAACTGTTGGAATACGAATTATATTAGGTCGTAGTGCCGCTGTCATTTAAGTCGTTCGTTTTGAACTAGTCATACTGATTTGACCAGCGTTGCGATACTGAAACCGGGATTGCTTGAGGTATTGGCAGCTAAATGAGTAGATTGGTGTGCTTGGGTGTTCTTAAATGTATAATCCATGATTTAACAGGAGAAAACAATATGTTACGGGTCTTAACGTATATACCGAATGTGAACTATGGATAATCATTTTGTTCAGGTGCCAGCCAAGTGACGGATGGACTTCTACACCTTCTTAAAGGACAATATTGGTGCCAGTCATTATCACATATGTGATAGAGCTGGTTAAACACATTCCAAATATAATTTTAACACAGAGATCATTGCTACGATAGCTGAGTAATAAAGTTTTCCAGAATCGGAAATGACGAACGCCAAAGGAAAACACGAGTCATCTCTCTATAACTGACTGATGTGAGAGTGATAACGGATATACGGGCGAATTTCTGCTCACTAATAATTCATTCGAAGATCAAAAGTTGTTGTATGAGATTGTGAGAGGATATCTGACAATTCATAAAAAGAATTGACTGTCACTAGATAAGTGAACACAAAAGAAAAACAGAAAAAGTCCGTGCATTACCATGTTTTTATAAGATATAGAATGAATATAAACAAGGGAATGTACGGACTACTTCTATTTTTCTCGTGTTCTCTTATCTAGTGACATTCAATTACTTGATTGAATTGTCGGGTATCCTTTTACAGTCCCATATATCAACTTTTGGTCTTCGAAGGAATTATTAGTGACCCCTGTCTTCTCATTTTTCCCAGAATAAACCCACGGCAAGTGAACTAAAAAGGGGAATTTGTTACATGTTACATGTGACATTCTTATTTCCAAGATTCCCGACAAAGAAAAGAAATAACCCCGAGCGGACTCAGCCAAATAAATTTATTGTAGCTCTTTGAAGCTTGATTTATATGATAGAGAGAAATGGGATTTAACGTCCACTCGACACAAACCAGGTCATTTCGGGACTAACATATATGGTTCAATTTTATTTCAATAATTCGCTTGCGCGTAGAGGTCTTTAGCAGATTGATATCATATTTTATATAATATAATGACAATGCTAAACATTTTTTCTTAAAACAGTTGTTACAATTTTAATTTCCCAAATGATCGGTTCATCCACGCTCGAGCCGTTTTCGAATCGTAATTAAAATTCATCAAACCCGAAAAAAAAAAAAAAAAAAATTCCGACAGTCCATTTTAGTTGGGTAAGCCTAGTATTACGAGAACCCTTTATCAGGATAAATAAATGAAGAAATATGTAATTGTAAGTTTATAGAGAATTGAAAAATAAACTGATGAGAAACGTTTTAATTTATAGTGAAGGTATATTAAAAAAAAAACCAGATACCAATATAAAAAGTGGGTGGGGTGTGCACCCCGGAAACTCTCCCTCTGTGAACGCCCCTGGTCTGTGTCAACTCAGATAAAAGGCGTGATGTAAATATTACCTGTACATTACGGGCTGTAGGCGATAGTTTCGCGGTTTTACTCTCTTCCCTGTGCATGGAACTCGACATACTATTCTTGAAGTAGATATTTCTCTGTGGACAGAATGGGAACTGGAGTGAAACCCAATCCGTTAGTATGCATATGATTCCAAGTTTTCACAAAGAACACATTTTATAAAAGCCGAGAATTGATCATGGTTTATCATATTGTTCCACTTATTCAGTAATATATAATTACGCACGGGGCGGGATTGTGTATAGTTATGAACAAATTCACACTCCAAATACACATCTGATCACTGTGACGTTACTAGCGTCACAAGCCTTTCGGAACAATAGAGTTTTATTTTTAGATAATTGGCAAAATTGTTTTTAAGGCAGGTCTTTACATATATGTGTCTTTCTGTGAAGATGTCTCGATTAATTATCAATGGATTTGACTGAAATTAGTGTAAACTGAATATAATCACCCAGCATATTACCCAGTTATGCACATCAATAATAAAAACACCATATAATATAAAAGAAGAACCACTAAAGATAATAATTTTTAAATAGTTTTTATTCATTTGAGAAAGAAAAACCAAAACCTGATCCTAGCCGCGACTAAATCCCTTTTATTTAAATACTACAGTTTTTCTATAGCTCTATACAGACGAATAGTACAGGATGCACTTGACAGAAATAATTAGGGACAGGCTTTAAGCTCTTCCCAAAACATCCTAAAACACACATATAATAAATAACAATGAAAACATAATTTACAATTCAAATTACACGAAAATCTGAACAATGATTATAATCATGTATATATATACATGGTATAATTAAATATACATATATATACATTTAACATACATTTAAAATAATAATAATGTTTCCGGTTGATATTAATTTCTAGTATTTTCTAAGATGGCCGATTTACAAATACAATATAAAATGGTAACTATGGCAACATCACCATGGCTACCGATCACTATGATATTAATGTTTAGTATTTTCCAAGATGACTGATTTACAAATACAATATAAAATGGTAACTAATGGCAATGTATCACCATGGCTACCAGTCACTATGGCAACTTTGTACTATTCTGAGAAATATAATGTACACTTTGCATTATATGACCCTTGTTTTCTACTAATTACATTACATCTCAGTTTTTAATGGATATAACATTAATACTAGGGTTATTTAGTGGTCGTCAATAGCAACACTTTCACATTCAATACATTTACAATAAATACAAAAATTATACAAATTTACATATACCTATTCTATTTTAAGGTATTGGTTTTAGGAAACATCATATTAAATACAAAAGATTTACTAGTTTCTGATGACCTGATAATGATATCAAAACATTAAATTACAGAAATCTCATAAACGACTTTACAAATAAACTTGATTTTCAGGCAGAATTCCACTATTTTTCCATATTTTACAAACAAAGCAAAGGTCGAAAACATGAATGTTTATGACTAGTATATTACACTTTTTTCTCATATTTTACAAACAAGGAATATGTAAAATGCTCTCTTTTATTATGGAAAAAAATAAACAAAACATTTGAAAATGCTATTTAAAAAAAAAAAAGAATTCTATGTCTAACCCTCAAAACAATAATACAAGACATGTACATTATTTGTCTATCGAAATTTGCTCCTTAAATAACGAAAGATGGTTCTGATGTATTTCTATTTTCAATATAAAAAAAAAACTTTCATCCGAAAGTTTAGTAGAAGGTGACATGAAGAAAATAAAACTAAAAAGAGAAAATTAAAATATGAATAAAAATGAAATGTAATGATTCATAAAATAGTATAAAAGAATAAACATCTCTTTTTGATAAAAAAAAAAAAATAATAAAAAAAAAACATTTTACAAGTTTTGTCAAAATTTTCCTTATTTTAAATTTATAAGATGTACAAAAATAATGCAAAACACAATTTTTAACAATCTTAATTTTGGCAACATTTACGAATTCACTGTATTGATGTAAACACAATATGCATGTGTTTTATATGAAACATATTAAAAGGTTGTTTTCAAATGAAATGTTATTTTGAGTTTGTTTTGCTGATAAACAGGGTAATCAAGCCCCTATTTACAAATATATCATGGAACAGGAGTCTGATCTGATCATTGTATTTCATTCGTTTAGTCAATCGTATTATTTTAGTTTAATTTGTGACAGGGGGTTGGGTGTAATTGTCTAGCGCATGCGCTTTAGACAATAAGAGAGATAGAGAAATGGGGTTTAACGTCCACTCGATACAAACTAGTTCATTTCGGGACTAACATACGGTTCAATTTTATTTCAATATTTCGTTTGTGCCCCAGGGTCTTTAACAGTGGGATGAAACTGGCGGACATGGAGAAAACTCATGAGTTTGGACCGGCAATCCTACTCCTTATCACTTACAAGCAAAGAGTCGAAACCACACCACTTGCCTTAATGACAGACTTGTGATTTGATGCGCTTGCTTTTGATTCCCACCTTGTATGTACAAGGAGTTGGATCGCATGTCTAACCTCATTAGTTCTCTCTGTGTCCTCTGGTTTCCTTCCACTTGTAAAGACCCCTACATGCAAGCAAGTTATTGAAATAACATTGTACCATACATTAATCCCGAAATGACCTAGTTTGTTGACGAGTGGACAATAAACAACATCTCGCTCTTATTTGTAATACTGTTTTCCTCAAATGTCACCTTGACTGTAATGTAAATATACATGTATTGATATTGTAGATCCACACAAAGAAAAAACATTTCATTTAAAAACATCCTTCCTCGCATGCTGCTAACACAATGTTTACACATCGAGAAACTGTTGCAAAATACACATAAACACACAACGAACATATATGGCAGTGTCTGTAGATTCAACAAATTGTCTTTATAATAAATTGCACATCAAGAGAATATATTCTGCAGCAAAAACCAAAAAGTTGCTAGGCAAAACGCTCAAACCACAAATGTTTTGTAATGATTCATTGTCCACACAGTGTATAAATATTGTTTATTATCTGGTCAAATAACACAATAATATATAATGTTTATATTGCACACAAAAATTTACTAAAACACACAAGAAACCCAGAAGTCAAATTAAAGGCTTTATGTGCCCAATCTCCATATTTCAAGGTCCTTACACTATGAAAACACAAACTACAAAATGATATTTTTACAAAAACAATTTTTCCATTATTGGAGAGTAAGTCCATTCTGTTTATAAAATTTTGTAACTTTGTAACAACGAATCTCCTTTTATTTTATTTTATTTTAATAACTGTTGATCATCCAGTCATTTGTAAATATGTTTATCCAGTCTTTTCGTGCATTGTAAATATTAATTCCACCATAAGAACGGTTTTGTAGGAAAATCCTCTAACAATCCAGTCTTTTGTTATGTAAACAACGCAGTATAATAATTAATATAATATGTATACCCGAATATCCAGGTCACTTTATAAAAATAAAATCCTCATCTATAACCATATGTTCAATCTCGTCACCAAGCTAAGCACTATATTGCTACATCACGATTAGCCCTATCAAAAATGTTTGGGAGCTTTTCCCCCCTGAGGGCTAACACTTCACCACACACACGCCCATACAAGGCTTAGCAAGTAGAAGTCGTATTATCTTTAATACAAATAGCTGCTAAATTTGTATCTTACATCACGTTTATAAAGTAGATTCAACCCCTGATGATCCGGAGAATTCCTGGATAGAACTATGACTATCGAGACTGGTTGAATCACTGTCGTTACTCTGCGGACTGGAATAATTAGCTGCTTCCTGTAATCTCATTAACATATTCACCTGTTGGAAGAAAATAATAAACATATATGTCAGTATTCTTAAGATCAAAGATAAATTAGTAAAATCATTGAGTTGCCATAGATTGAATATCAAAACTAAGAAAATTTTAATCAAATGCTAAATGCAGCGGTAGTATGGGGGTTTAATGTTGTTTTTTTTTTCAGTACCATCAAAGTTAATGAAGACAGGCATACGCCATGCCGTGTGCTATTACGGATATTGAACTGGGACAGGAATTAAATGCCAATTGTCGAGGTTTATTTTACATGCAGGCCAAGGTGTACACATGGCCATATTTTTTTTAGTCCAACCGAACAACTAGGCACTGTTCCTTTCCAGACCCTTTCTTGACCAACACCAGGATCAAACCTTGAAGAACATCTGAAGTAGAGTATAAGATGAATTAAAACATACCAATGGGTCACCATCACCGTCTGTAGGTTTAGTGGTTGTAGGTGTTTTAGTTTTTATTGTACTTGAAGGACTGGATGGTGTCTGAGATGTCTGACTATCGTAGCCAACATCTTCAGGTCTTATCTTTAACAATGCACGATCATTCATGCCCTCTTTTGGCCATGGGTATGACTCTATCACCCAGTCTGATGGATCGTCCCATGGTGCTCTCTTTCCGTAAACCTACAAAAATAAATACATTATATTTAGCAACTTCACAAATATTGAACCTAATTTAAAGCTATGGCAAGAACAGAGAGGAAAAGGGTTTAACCTCCACTCAATACAGATCATGTTATTTCAGAACTTAAGGGACTCTACTCTTTGTCACGGTATGAGGAACAGATGACAATATTCTTACTTCATGTTTTACAGTTTCTTTCATCCATTTTATTCTTCTAAAAAATAATTAAATTGTTCCTAACAGACCCAGACTGAATGATTTAAATTAAATTTCCTCGATCGGAAAATCGACTGTAGGGCAGATTTCTTAGTCTGACAAATTTAATGTCAGTTGGTCGAATATCAGTTAATAGCCTTATTAAAAGCCCTTTTCCGGTGATTTAAAAGCCTTATTGCAACTGTCCTAATCATTATACTATATTTTAATGAGAATCCCAGATAAAGATAAGTCGTTTAAAGAAATCTTACCTGTAACCCATCTCTGACAGCCTCTAACATATAAGGTACTAGAGAATAGTTCCATAGGTCCGTAAACCATACTTGTGATCCAGCTATATCCATAGGACATGATAAAAATAATCTTGGACCTGAAAAACCAAATTAAGATTATATTAGAAAATCATAACTTCTGACTGCCATCGAAATAACTTCAGCAGTAAAAGGTATATTTTAACAGGTATTTGATGTTCCTCCGCGTTAGGGAAGAATCATTAAAATTTTATCATTCGATAGGCTTTTTGGACCAGCAACGGAGCCCCAAGGGATACTCATCTTTTTTTTACTTCTTCTTGGGAGTGGGGGGGTGAGAGGTGCTCTACAAAAAAATCCCACAGCTCTGCCAATTCAAGTACTATTCACATGAAACTTGGCAAGCTTGTTCCTTGGGCAATTGTGCATCGACTGAAGCTTTGATTTTTGATGTAACATCACAATTCCAAGATGGATGCAATGACGTCATACTTAGTTCCTTGTCCATAGTTATCGCTTACTTATTTAGATTAACTTACCAATTGTAATATCAGAAGAACTATGTGTCTCTAGGAATTTATTCAGGTGTGCCCAGACTTTAGGAACCCAGTCAATGATTTTATTCAAATCATTATTTCTGATGCTTGTTCTAACTTCAGCTTCTACAAGTTTCCTACGTAGATATCTACCCAGGAATCCTTTTACAGGTTCCATATGATTGGCACACAAAACCCATCTGAAAATAATCAAACACAAACATCAAATAAGCACCAAAATTACGCAGTCATGTTGGTTGTTTTAAAATTTCTACTTTTGAAGGTATTTTGTCTTCCTGACAACACAAATTTTAGGATTTACAACATGGATATAGCTGTGGTTGTGAAATGACGAGGTTTAATATCCTACTTTTTTGTACCAAATGGGCCAATGAAGATGGGCATACGCTATACAGTGTGTGCTATTATGCCTGAACAATGTCTCTACGGCCTACTCTTATTTCAAATTCCAACTGTCAAGGGTTCTTTTAAGTGCACACAGGACCTAAGTTGTTTGTTCCATCCTACTGACTATAGACACTGTTCCTTACTAGTCCCTCTGTCCTGCACTACTGACAAGTTCCAACCACGCCGAAAAATCCTGAGGAACTTTCTAGAACAAAACAGAAAGTGAACTCGATACCTCCTGATCAGTGAGCCACCATAGCTCCCAGACAAAGGTTAGGGATTTCAAACAAATAATGGTGTGGTTGTAAAAGGTATCTGAGAAACGAATATATATTGTGATATGGCCTAATGCTGTGGTTGTTATGGGTATATTCCTATTTAATGAACAATCTTACCTGAAGTTATGGTGTAACTGTAAATTGGTAGCGTTACACGTCTGCTGGTTCATTGTTCCAATTATATATGGACTGAAAAACATTAAAAAATTGTAGATTTTACTTCTATGTTCAAAACTAAACTAAATGGTATAAACATTGTCAATCTTGCTTGAGTTTTTTTGAACTTAAACAAACCTTATTAATCAAAATGTATAGGTCTTATACAGACTATATCATTTAATAGGGCATAAAATGAAATGTTGTTTAGCACCTACGTTTCTGCACCTACCAAGATAAAAGGGTAATTTTGCCCAGACAGGGACGTTTCCGCCTACTATTCATTGAATTTCAGCTGACAAAGGTTGACTAAAGTTTTTTGTCCCATCCGATTGACTAGATGCTCTTTATTACCAGGCCCTTTGTCCCAAACCACTGACAATGGGAAACCAGGCTGGAAAATCCTGAAGACCTTTGTTCGACAATCTAGCTCCACATATAAATGAAAGATTGAAACCGTTTTTCTTTTTTACTGATTTGAAGAATTAAAGAAATACCTACCATTTCTGATATTTAACGCTCAGGAAGCCATTAAAGACATCAGCTAACGAATTAACGTGATGGAGATTATCCAGAATTATAACTCCTGGTAGTTCATTGGCTATCGTATTCTCACATTGCTCGGCAATATTTGACAAATACAGACGTAACTCTTTGGATGATTTGTGATCCACGTTAAATGTCGCTACTGAACCAGCTGTTAGAACTCGGCCCGATCTGAAATTAAAAGATTTATTAAAAAAAACAAATCCAGAAATAAAATGAAATAGGGTTTAACCTCCTACCGTTCTGCTCTAACTGGGCTAATGAAGCCGTACAGTGTGCTATGAGGGAAATCATGGCCGGACAGTGGCGCTAAGGCCTACCCTTATATCGAATTCTAACTGCCAAGGGATTTTTTATGTGCACGCCAATGTGTACATAGGACCCCGTTTTTTGTCCCAGACAGCTGTAAGCCCTCCGTCCTTCACCACAGACCAGGGGAAACCACGACAGAAAAAAAAACTGATAAGGACATTTTTATTATATGTTTATGTCCATGACTGTCATAAAGGCGAATAGAATTGGCCATGGAATAACAGTTCTACCTACTTCGTTGTAACGTACAGACTCCGGATTGAGTTGCTATACATGGTTGGAAATGACAGTATCTCTAAGATTAGATAGATGACCCTACTCTTTGCTACATACAGATTCAGGATTGAGTTGCTATACAGCATTCTTTGATTGATTATGCTCAATTTTTTACTAGTTATTTTAATTTCTAAATCGAGTGCGTCTGATGCATAATGTAAAGCAAATTTAAATTTTTCAGTGTCAACATTGAAGTCTGACGATGAAAAAAATAACTGCTCAATTCATGTCGACCATGTGACATATAAAATTCAGCCTGTGCCTTATTTGCACATCTACCTAAGTATACCGTAATATAACATTCTAGCATGTAGACGTGATGGATATACTGAATATACATGATGGGTGTGTATTTACAAAACATTTATAGATTATGTAAAACTAAGAACAGCTAATTTCAAGGACAAGGCCAGATTAAATAAACTATCATGTCACAGGTCATATGTATAAAAATGTTATCATGTGACAGGACATGTATAAAAAACATGAAGTTACTGATTATGAAGTAAGAAGGATTACAGTAGAGGTAAACGTGTGATGATGAATTCAGATGTAGAGTAACAACTTAGTTTGCTAATAATCAACATTCACAGTTACATTACACTAACAAGTTATCTAAAAACTGAAAACCTATAGTATCTTTAATTTTGAATCAAATTGGGTTTAACATCCCTCTTTTCTGAATCAACTGAGCTAATGAAGTCGGTCATTTTTGAAGGGTTCCTTTATGTGCATGCCAGTGTGTACTCTGTTCCTTGTAAGGCCCAAACTTCTGCATCACTTACAAGGACAAACCAAGGTGGGAAAATAATGGGGAACTTTCTCGGGCAACACTGGGACCGAACCCTGCATCCCATTATTAGAGAGAGAAAGATGGGGTTTATCATCAACTTGAAATAAACTACATCATTTCGGGACTAACTTATAGTTCAATTTTATTTCAATAAATTGCTTGCACTTAGGGGTCTTTAGCAGTGGAAGGAAATCAAAGGACCCAGATTAAACCCACAAGTTTGGACAAGAGTGACCCTATTCCTAACCATGTACAAGCGGGAGAATCAAAACACCGCCACTTGACTCAATGACAGATCTTATGATTTTGCATACATGCATTAAACTACTAGATCACCCAACCCCCTTACTCATTAATGAACCACCATAGCTCACACATCTTAAATGTATGGAAACTCATTTCGAAATATGTCATAAAACATGGAAGGAAAATCATAACAAGAAAATCAATTGTAAAATGTAAGCCATAAATTCGATTATCAATTTCCTAAATCAGTTATCGCTGAAAATAATGTCATTAATTCAATTTACCTTATAGCAAGAAAATCAATAGTAAAAATTTATAAATGTACCCCATAAATTTGTTAATGAATTTCCTAAATCAGTTATCATTGAAAAAAATGTCAGTAATTTAATTTACCTTAATACTAAATGTTCAGCTAGTTTTTGAGCTAGATAGGATTTTCCTGTTCCACTTGGTCCACATAGAATAATACGGCGATGTTCCAATAACAATTGTATGTAACGCTGAACAATGGACTTGGGTATCATCGTTTCAAAAGCTAGTGAATCAACAGTATTCTGTTTAGTACCTAAAATAAAATAAATTCATCAATTTCACATCCAATATACAAAAATGTTTGGTTTAATATTCAATCTGATTAAAATACAGATCTATATTTCGTTTCGTTTTTTTTATACTTTCGATGGCCTCCACTACATGAGGATCTGACCGGTTGTAGCGATAGGCCACGTCAGAGGTCATACGAGAGGCTTTTGACACTATGACGTCAGACATTTGATTAACCAATCAGCATTGATGTTACTAGTGGATTACCCACAGTTCCTTGCAAAACACGCCTAAAGCTCGCCGTAACAGATCGTTTCATTGGCTAATCTCTCACACCATTCAGAACACGATTTAAATAACAACTCTTCCAGATCCTATAGTGTAAAACGAAATATTGAACTATAAAAACGAAACAAAATAGGATCTGTGTTTTAATCAGATTGTTTAATATTGATCCTGATAGTGACAAAAATGATGCCACTATGATAGTATAGATTCACATTTTAAGAATTTTTGTATTGGTTTGCATTATGGTAAGATTCTTGAAATTATAATCCCCTTTTTAGCTATCTTACTAGCGCCAAAATACACTGAAAGAATGTCAGAATATGTGAGTCTATATTGAGCTTAAACACAGTTTTATTCCCCATTATCAAATGTAATTGTTAATTAAATGCTGCTTACCTTTGAGACAGATTCCTATTTGCATTGTTTCCCCAACTAGATAACCTATAGGTAGAAGCTCCGGTAACTCAGAGTCTGAAATATTCAATATTTTATTAACTGAAAACTGATCAATATATTTGTATGTTCTGTCAAGATCAAACTCTTGGGCACTTGTTTCAGCTATATTTGCCAGTCTTCACTGACTGACACTTAAATTAACTGCCTGGATAATTTTACCGTTTGCCAAAATTTTTATAATCTAACCTTAAAAAAAACAACAGATAAAATTATAGGTGGTTTTGGGTTTTTTTGGGTTTTTTAAATATTGTCATAATGCTACAAATAGCCATATTCTATAGAAAAATATCTAGAAGTGGATAAAAGAAACGAAATGGGGTTTAATGTTCTATTGTCATGGTGGATAAAAGATGTTCCACTTACCTTTAGTTCTAGTTATCTCCCCTACATGATATGACTGAAGACTTTCTGAACTAAGACCTAGATTAGTAACTGGATCAACTCTAAGTACATATTCCTAGAAAATAAAATCGAAAGGATTAATAAATTAATAAGAGAAGGACATGACATAAAAACAAGTACAGGTACGCTAGTGCTACATGGACCAGGAACTGAACATGTCATCACCCTCATCTTGGAATTGTTAAGTTGTAACAAAAATTGAAGTCCTTCACTCACTCGATGCTCAATTGTCCAAGGAACACAAAAGTTGAATTGGTGGAGCCTGCAGCTTTTTTCGAAGAGTGTCGCCCTAAGAATAAGAACAAGTGAGTAGCACTTGGGGTTCAGTTCCTGCATTCCAAAAATGCATAAGAGGAAATAAACAACTAATAAGTTCTGAGGTTGTAGTTCTATAATATAGAATCAGATTTACCTTAAATATTTTTCGGACCATATTATCCAGTATATCCCACTTAGTTTTACCACTGACTGATAGGAAACCTATTAATACTTCCGCTGGTTTCTGTAAAACAAAACATATCTATTTAGAAATGAAATGGGGTTTTATAATCTTTAACTTTTCTGCACCATCCAGGCTAATGAAGATGGCCATACACCATGAAGTGAAATATTATGGATATAGTGCCATGACAGCAACACTACATCCTATTCTTATTTTGATTTCTAAATGTCAGGGGTTCGAAACAGAACGAAGGAAACTTCAGATCCTGCTACAAAGCTCAAGTGAATGGATTGATCACTGTTACAAATATCAAATTTATAATAACACATGGTTCCTTTCAATAAAGACGAGAGTATCCTCATCGAAACTTAGCATAAAGATATCCAGTAATTGTGTATCCATACAATCATACCATGTATTAATATATGTTTAATTACTAATTAAATGCCTATCAAAGAAGTTAAATTTATAATATTGAGAGAGAGAGAGAGAGAAATGGGGTTTAACGTCCACTCGACACAAACTAAGTCATTTCGGGACTAACACAATGTTCAATTTTATTTCAATCATTCGCTTGGTTGGACAGGCCACCCTACTCCTTGTCGTGTACAACCGGGAAATCGAAACCCCACCAGTTGACTCAATGACAGACCGTATGATACAGCGCGGGCGTGCTAACCATTCGGTCATCCAACCCCCCTTTATAATATTAAATTAAGTGACTTACCTCTATTCCTTCTTTAGTAGGATCAGGATTTGAACCCAGGTACATGGCCAGTGTTACTCGTTTACCTTCACGATCATTAGCTGCCGTTTCAGCTAGTAACATATCTGTAACAGACATTTCAATATATATCATCAGACCAATGTTAATCATAATAATCTTTCATATTATCAATGCTCATTTTATATAGTATAATGATGTAGCAGGATTTCGAAACTTGCGATTTTGTCAATTGGGAAATTTGATTTGCTTCATACCATCTACTGGATGACTTAATAAATATTTCAGATATCAGATTTAATCAAGCTCCAAAATAAACATCTGTATGAATCTAAGGATGCTACGTTGTTGAATATTCTGAATTTGTATAGATTATATGCTTTTAATCCATGTTTATCATTCTGACTCGCTATCTGAGGATACAGTGTTTACAGAAATAACTTCATAAATATTTCAGATTCAAATTTCTGTGTTTTCTCAACCTTTCAAACGAAATACCGATATGAAATCTAAGCATTCAAGTCGCTATTTTTTACAGCTTAATCCATGTTAATTAACATGTTTTCAGATTGATTATTCAACATTTAATGAAGAAAACAAAACCAAAATAAGAACAGTAGATAATCCCCCAGGTTTAATCAGATTAATAAAGAGTGAATTCAATCGGATAAACAAGAGGCCCTTCCAAATATTTTACCCAACTCTTTATAGGTGACGCTTTCTTGTTTATATCATCTGCAAATAGCTAGAGGATGATGAATGTTGCAATTACTAACATTAGTAATGTTAAATACTAAATTACTAAATTTTAGACTGATGCTCCTTTTAAAGCTTTAAATTTCTCAATATTGTAGTGAAAAATCTACCCCCCTCCCCCCACCTTGTGGTGCAACAATTTGTTAGCTCTATGAAATGAATACAATAAAAGACTCACCTAGACTACTGTGATCTGTGAGACTTATTGATCTATCTAAAGAATCGTTACTTCGTGTTGGTGTTAGGGATGACTGGGATATATGTAGTGTTCTCTGGTGCTGGGGTGTCATGGGATTACCACTACGATTTAATCGTTCATTATCACATTTCAAGGCACTCATTTCAGACTGAAGAAGAAATAAAATAAAATATGATCAAATATTAACAAACAATTGATCAAATACTATAGTAGGCAATATTGAAAATAATAATATCAGTGCACCGATAAATCTGAAAGAGTTGTGTCCCTTTATTCAGTAGGCAGTCATTCAAAAATAAACAGATCAAATATTCACGAACCATTCAATAGGCCCTACTATAACGAGCAATCATAATAATAGCAATATCAGTGTACTGATAAAAACCAAAAGACTTATGTCCATTTTTTATTCTGTTGGAAGTTGTAGTTCAAAATAACTTCACTACAAAATTCTCTACAGAAAGCAAAATAACTGATTGGGAATTGGGATTTTAATCACTGCAGTTTAACTATAAAGTTTAGTCATCTTACCTTCATTTTATTCATGGTTTCTCGAAGTTGTTCCAACTGATGAGCAGACGACAAGGCTTCCAGACGAATGTCTGTTAACTTCATATCTTTTTCACGGAGCTGTTTCTTCAAATCAACAACGTTTCCTACATCATCAGTTTCACATAATCTGTAAATAATAGAGAAAATCACATTTTTACATTTTACATCTTCGTACTGGTATATGAGCTCAGCAAAAAGGTAACTACATTTTTTACGTTCTAACTGTTGTTGTTAATTGGGGATTTTCAGTCCCTTAGTGTTATTGTAAATCCAACTCATACGCAAAAGTCTTTGCTGTGGGACGAAACCGGAGTACCCAGAATAAACCCCGGAGGCTGACCAGCCAGCTTATACTGCGACCCCCAAGACCATTTGGCCATCCTAACTTTTAAACTAAAAGCACTCGTGTTAAATATTGAAAATATAATTGCGAACCCAGAAGTGACTAGCCAACTAGAGCCAGAACCGTGATACTCTAGACCTCTAGCCATCCCAAACAAAAAGCACTCAATTTAAACATTGAAAAAAATAATTAACAAAATAACTTACGCTCCAGAGGAATGAGATCCTTTAAGAGGTCCTCCTGGAGGTCCATGCATGAGTAGTAACGGTGAGTTTGGTGCCGATATATTGGATCTTAAACTCTGTGTATCGGGTTCTACATCAGACATTGATCCATTTTTATTCTTCTTGCGATTAAATGCTTTACTGAATGAGCTCCTCAACTAAAAGAAAGAAGACATCAATGTTAACATACATTATGAAATGAAATGAGGTATAACATCCTTTGCTACTTTTCTACACCTACTGGACAAATGAAGATAGACATACGCCATGCAGTGCGCTATGAGGGAAATTTTACTGAGTCATCAGTACTACGGCCTACTCTTATATCCAATTCCAAGTGCCAAAGGTTCTATTACATGCACGTCAATGTGTACACAGAACCTCAGTTTTAGATATAATTATGACTATGGTTTACAAAATATAAATCAAGATATAGTATATAAACCCTTTCGGCAAAGGTTTCCTCTTAGGCAACAAAGTTTTATTAATGAATAACCTGATTTCGGCAGAATTTTACAGGAAGTACCCACCCAGCAATTTTCTTCAGGCCCAGCCTTCATTGTGAGGGGTGGTATCACCAAGGCTGTCTAGTCAATCGGATAGGACTAAAAACCAAAGTCCACCCATACACATTGATAGTTGGAAATTGACAAACAGAAAAACAGAAAGCAGAAATGGTGCTGTCTGGGCCAAATTCTCCAAACCGGTCATGCACATGTAACCATAGAAATAAAATTTACCATGTTTGTCTCAAAAATTGTGGTGATGAGAAATCAAACTTACCCAACCCTTTTTCTTCTTGCCTTTACAATCTGTATCAGTGGCAGCTGAATGTTGACTGGTTACACTACAGGCACTAGATAAACTGTTTATACTAGACATACTGTCTGATGACATCTGTCTCATAATACCACTCTCAGATACTACAAAACAACAAATTATAATCATAATCCTCCTCTCAGATACTACAAAACAACAAATTATAATCATAATACTGCTCACAGAGATACTACAAAACAACAAATTAAAATCATAATACTGCTCTCAGATACTACAAAACAACAAACTAAAAACATAATACTGCTCTCAGATACTACAAAACAACAAATTAAAATCATAATACCACTCTCAGATACTACAAAACAACAGATTATAATCATAATACTGCTCTCAGATACTACAAAACAACAAATTATAATCATAATACTGCCCACAGAGATACTACAAAACAACAAATTAAAATCATAATACTGCTCTCAGATACTACAAAACAACAAACTAAAAACATAATACTGCTCTCAGATACTACAAAACAACAAATTAAAATCATAATGCTGCTCTCAGATACTACAAAACAACAAATTATAATCATAATACTGCTCTCAGATACTACAACACAACAAATTATAACCATAATACTGCTCTCAGAGATACTACAAAACAATAAATTAAAATCATAATACCAGTCTCAGATACTACAAATTTTTAAACAATAAAATCTTATGTAACATTTGAAGCCCCCCCCCCCCCAAAAAAAAGAGACCTGCAATAAGAAGATTTAGCTCTTTAAATCTTCAAGACAAACATATACTTTTTGGAAGTCAAAAAAAAATATATTACCATGTCGTTGGTGAGGATGAACTGGACCATCTTTAAGTACAACCCCCGGAGATGTATGACGTCTGCTAGAGTTAGGGCTGATGATACCACTTTCAGTTATCGTCAAACCACTCTGTCTCTTCAAAGCTTCTATTGTATGACGAAGTTCATTTAATTCTGAGTCCTGAAGAAGAGAATACATCCAAAATAAAATAACATTGAAATTAAAAATAAAAAAGTTCAACAGAAATGAAGTTTCGGACCAGAAATGAAATTGGGTTTAATGTCCTGCTCCGACTTGGCTAGTGAAGATGATCATATGCGATACAGTGTGCCATGAGGGAAATTTTGCTCGGACAGCCGTGCTACAGCCTCTCTAAAAATGTAATGTCCCTTGCCAGACCCTTGGTCCTGTACCGCTGACAAGGAGGAACCATCCAGGAAAATCCCCGTGAACCTTCTCTGTCGTATTGGACCAGGAACTGGTCCATAGTATAGTGGTACTTGCTTTTCCAATCTAGTCAACTCTCAAAAATCTCACGTTCGACCCTTGTGGAAGGGCTTTAATTGGAGTGAAAGATACTTCAAAGCATGTGTTTTCCTCTCGTCAGGAGTTGTGTTTATATGTCCAGATTGTTATTGGTTATTTTCATACAACTTTTACCAATCTCACATTTCACTGAACTAACTTACTACAAAATCTGAATATTAATTGCAAATTAATCTACAAAATCCTGGCAATTTGCTGGACTAGAAAAGATGATGGTTAGTCCTTGGTTAAATGATGTAGAAAGGGATTATGGTATCGTATTCAACAGTAAACACTGGGGTATATCACCAATTTATCCTGTTATAACTGTGATATATCATCCCTATATTCCATAGTTCTAATCAATATCAGCCCACACATAATACCAACAGTGTAAGCATTGCTGTTACCAAAAAAACAAAATTAGGTCCATTAGAAGGAGAGCTAATTACATTGTCCATTGGGATTACTGCCAAAATCAAATATCAGATTTCTTTTACAATAGAAACAATTCCAAGAACCTCTCTTCAAAACTCCAAAGCTGTCTATTTTTATATTTATAAATGATTTATAGTTGAAATCTTCTATGAAAGTTCCAATGTAGCTTACTATTAATATCTTAATAGCCATCATCAAATGATATTAGAGAGAGAGAGATAGATAGAGAGAGAGATGGGGTTTAACATCCACTTGACCTAAACTAAGCCATTTCGGGACTAGCATATGGTATATAAATAATTAGCAGTAGAAGGAAATTGTTGAATCTGGAGAAAACCCGCAAGGTTGGACAGGTGACCCCACTCCTCGAAGTGCTTAGGATTAAAATCATGCCACTTAATTCAATGACAGACCATATGATCAATAGTGCATGCCTTAGACCAGTTGCCACCCATACCACCACCTATCATCAAATGAATCTCATCCCTTGGGCATGCGGGGTATTATTTGGGGTTGATCTACAGCCGACATTTTGAAACTAAAAATGATATATTTTATGACATTCAAAAGGAACGACATCAGACTCAAACTAAACTCAACATGTTCCGGGCTGGCAATCTGCTGGTCTCTTTCGTATACTGGTTAATGAACGAAGTAAGTAATGTTTCACAACAACATGTTCCAGGGTGGCAGTCTGCTGGCCTCTTTCGTATACTGGTTAATGAACGAAGTAAGTAATGTTTCAACATGTTCCAGGGTGGCAGTCTGCTGGCCTCTTTCGTATACTAGTTAATGAACAAAGTAAGTTATGTTTCACAAAAGCATACAGATTCCAAAGACTCAAACTAAACCCAACATATGTAACATGGTGGCAGTCTGCTGGCCTCTTTCATATAATGGTTAATGAACGAAGTAAGTCATGTTTCGAAAAAGCACACACGTTCCAAAGACATAATTTAAATAGCAGAAACAATTCACTCACAACACATAAATATCCTACATTTAGAAACGCATGTATCATTGTACGAGGATGTATATACGTAAAGTCCACGATGATCTTTTGAATACATTAACAGATAACGTTTTACTCTATGATTATCATTGCAAGAATAATTAACAGCAGAACGCTCCACTTGTGCCAAATGCTACAAACAATAAGCATGCCGTTGATGTCAAGGCTAGCAAGACGACACACAAATCATCAGATCATCAAATATCAATTGTGTATTATGATTACTTTAACAAGATGTGGACGTAAAACTAACATGTTTTCCCAGTCTGTTAGAATATGGTAACAGTGTGAGGTGCGTAATATTATCATTGCATAAATTCTGTAAACAGCACATATTGTTGCCAAAAGACTCTTTCTTTGTGTATTTATTTGAAAGTTTTGCCATTAAGGACTTGTTCTTCCCAGCTATTCGTTATTTTCTCATTCATTGTATCTACAACCTAACCCACTTGACCTAAGTCATCTTATTCTGAGCCAACACAAATCTCCCCCTAATATAACGGTAAAATACCATAGTTTAACCTTCCGTCTAATCAGGCAGCAAAGACATCAAACAGATTCAAATGGGTGTACATCAATCTTGTCTAAACAGCCGCAGGTAAAATTACTTATGGAACTAGAGAAATATGTTTATTGGCAACAGAAGAACAACTGAAGTTTCCAGGCAGGATTTTGGACAAATTAGAATTAAAAGTATATACTTAATATTAACGATATGTCACCCAGGCTAATTAAGAGATGCATACACCATACAGTGTGCTACAAGAACAATTTTGCCCATACAGCGAAGTTACAGCCTCCTCTTATTTCGAATTCGGGGGGTTGGATGGCTGAATGGTTAGAGTGCACACGCTGTATCATAAAGTCTGTCATTGAGTCGACTGGCATGGTTTCAAATCCCCGGTTGTACGTGGCAAGGAGTAGGGTCGCCTGTCCAACCTCGTGGGTTTTCTCTGGGTCCTCCGGTTTCCTCCCACTGCTCAAGACCCCTACGGGCAAGCGAATTATGTAAATAAAATTAAACCATATGTTAGTCCCGAAATGACCTAGTTTGTGTCGAGTGGACATTAAACCCCATTTCTCTCTCTCTATTTCGAATTCCAACTGTCTAGGGTTCTTTTACGTGCACGCTAATGTGTACACATGCTCTCAAGTTTTTCGTCCAATTCAAATGACTTGACACTGTTCCATGCCAGGAACTCCATCCTGTACCACTGACAAAGAGAAACCAATCCGGGAAATCCCTTGGTACTTTTTCGGCCAAACTGGGATCGAACACATGGCCTCCAGGTTAGCGAGCCAATGTGTTACTCGCTGAGCTACCACATATTAAAGCAAAATGTATCAAATTCTCTACTCCGAAAAACAAAAACCTGGCTGAATCAGCATAAAAATCTATAACAACCAAGGAACATGTAGTTACATAACGCGGAATATGGTAAAAACATTAAATACCAATAAGAAGATGCTCACTGCGGAACACACATAAAACCCTCATTAGTACCTTGATCAACATTTTTCTATGTCTACCCAGACATCAGAACTTAACCATAACAATGTTTTAGGGCATATAACGTATTACATCATGAAAGCATTGCGACTTATGGTCCATCAAATAAAACGACCTGATCATTAATAGGGTTTACATTTTTGTTATGGATCCACCTAACCAGAAAAACATCTGTATTCCTACTCCTCGTAGGATTTTGACAGACGGGCAATATTTACTTAGTGTCTGTAATAGCTGTATACTATATCCACCTCTCTTGTAAAGAGTTTCTTTAGCTACATTATTTGGCAGCAGGTGTAGTCATGTGTTTATTTCTCAGAATTTTTTTTTTTATCCAATTTGTTCCGCTGTTTTGTTTTCATACAACATCATGTCGCATGCAGATTATTTTCAACAAATCGTTTTGAAAACAACAAAAAAATCATGGTTTAGGTATCTTTTTAAAAAAATTGTTTAACTTGATTACAAGTGTACAAGAAATTCTGGTTTTAATTCTTGGGAGGTCATTTTGAATTTCAAGTTTTTTCTCCTGTCAGTATCTCCATTACAAAAATGTTGTTTAAAAGTAGTAATATGTCACTTGTAAACTCTCTGGTTGTCATTTCAAGGATTTTGAATCCCTTGTTAACTACAATATTGTGAAAGTTGAATCTCTAAAACGAATGTTTGTCCAAATAATATGGTTCAAATTCCATTGAGTATTTACAGATATGACGAAATGTAAAAATCTGTCAAAATTCGGCATCCTCTGAAGATGATGACATAAACAGGGTATGCCCTAAACAAGCAAACATCACCTATAATCTTTGCTTAGCTTTTTTTTAAAAAATCCAAGCCGGTATTAACTACTATTGATATTTTGATTCTTTTTTCTTAATTTAATATCAAATAATCAACTTGGGTTCATTTTAGCGTGGATTAATTAAGCAATAAAAAAAACAGACATCCAAAGGACGGGTACTGGTTTTAAATAATTACTGTTTCCTTGATTTTTATTACTTTGGTTTGTTAAATCTAAATCCAACTCTGTCATCAAATTCAGACATAAGACAACAGCAGCACAAATGTGTAAATTATTCATCCAGTGAGATATTATTTCACCTACAAGGTATTAACAGTTGAGATTGCATATTTGATTACAACCTGTCTACATTATAACAGATTTTTCAGATCAAAATCAATAATATGATTATTCTTGATTAGAAGTGCACAGATAAATATCATGTCAATTGCCCCAATTGGTAATTACTTATTGGTGTCATACACATGGTAGGGTATGCATATTCTTTAAGAACACCTGGTGACAACACTTATATTGTACTTTCATATTTTTATTGTTATCTTAATATTATTCTGTCGAGAAAGCACCTCAGAATTTTCCAGTTTTTGTGCCACAGGGCGACGAAAAATCCAGATCCCTTGTACCCTTGACAGTTGGAATGCGAATACTTTCATATTTATATTTTTTTAACTTAATATTATGCTAAACATATAAACAGCTATGAAAACACAGAGGCAGACACATCTATTTCCATTTATCGTTATTTTACCACTAGAAATTTTTATGATTATTACTTCTTGGAGAGAGTTGTCAATATTTACAAGTTCATAACATTTATCTAATTTGTACAGATTTACTGATTATTAAAAAAAAAGTAGACCCAACTCCAGACAATGTTTATACAGATGTGCTATTAAATTCTAATCATAGTTATAATTCTCCATTTTGGTTTCACATCTTTAATATTTTTTCACATAAAAATAAAGTTTATATTGTTTTTATCTGTTATAAAATCCTAATCAGTAGTCATAATTCTCCAGTTTGGTTTCACATCACTTAATATTTTTTCACATAAAAACAAAGTTTATATCGTTTTTAGTTGTATTTTTTTCTGTAAATAAAGCCACCGAGACGGGGTCTGTGTTGGGTTTATTTAATAGCAATATCAAAAAAGTTATAATCTAGATAAATCATAAAAATATTGCATAAACAAAACTCATTAATGACAAATCTTTTTTCTGGAAAATATGAATATATAAATCCAGACATCTAACACTTAAATTTTCAAATTCTGAACAATATACAATTTACTTTGTGATAAATGGGTTGGAGAGAGAGGGGGGGGGGATTTTAGGCCCCGCCCCCCCACTTGCGTCTAGATGTCGTTAGTATTTGGAAGAAACCTGGATTATGATGTAAAGCGCAGTGGTAGACCCCCCAACCCTCCAGGTGAGATTCCATTACTACTATCACCCATGCAACGAAATATATTTCTTTATTCAAAAATCTTGCAAAAAGAATTCTAGGAACGTGAATTTCTATTAAGCAATGTTTTATCATAGTTTAGATGTCATAATAAAATTGGTAGCATGTTTAAAATTCAATCTATAACACATGGACAAGAGAATATAAACTATTACTTGATGTTTAAAATATGTTTATAATTTGGAAATTAACACTTTCAGGTTACAACCCTGAAGCAAGAGTAGATAGGTTAATCTATTCAGATAAAGCAAAGTTTGGTTCAAGCACTAAAAATCTTGATGCTGTTGTCCAGAATATTTTAGAGAAAACTAGAAAACTTTATCATTGAACAAATACTTGTGATTGTACATGTCATTTTGGCGATGTGATGTACCAACAATATCTAAATCACTAGTAACAGATCATCTGAAGGCAGGCCCTAGGCTATTCCCCTTATGAGGATCCTCCCAATCCTTTACCCCCATGACTAGAGGAAGATGAAAGTGTAAACCGAGGATGATTACAGATTTTTAAGACTACAGTGCACGTAAGAAACATTTATGACAATGTCAAAAACATTACACACCCCTAGCTATTCAGAACCTAGGATTCTGCCTGCCAAGCCTATAGGGAGAGAGAGAGAAATGGGGTTTAACATCCACTCGACACAAACTGGGTCATTTTGGGACTAACATGATTTAATTTTATTTCAATAATTCGCTTGCACGTAGGGGTCTTTAGCAGTGAGAGGAAACCAGAGGAACCGGATAAAACCCACAAGGTTGGACAGACGACCCTGCTCCTTGTCATGTACAACCGGGGATTCGAAACCACGCCAGTTGACTCAATGACAGGCCTTATAATACAGCACGCATGTGCTAACCATTCGGCCATCCAACCCCCCGCCAAGCCTATAAATAGAATAGAATAGAATAGAATAGAATACGATCATAGAGTAATGAGGGGGGGGGGGCTAAATTCCTTCACACATATTTCAGAGGCTGGACATGGCCATTAGATCTGTATACCTGCTGAATCACTAGTGAAGTCATCTGTTAATAATCATTAAACAATTTGTATCAGGAAAAATGATCTAGTACAAAAAGCAAGCTAGGTCAAAACAGTGGGGTTTTTAATCATCTCTTCATGTACATTAGAGAAACTTTCAAATTAAAAGAATTAAGACTTGGGATATAATCATGACATTTTTATCTGTAAAATCACGTGCTCGCTGTTCAAACATTTTTTGCTTATCTTAACTTTGACCCTCAAATTTCCTGAGGTCACAGATTTATCTAATGCCATCAATTTCCTTACATTACTGAGTATGAATTCCGCTAAACTGAATCAAAGAACTGCAGGAGAGCCAGGATGGGAAGCTATCTAATATAGGCAGTATCTCTGATGTCTGAATCACTATCTTGGAATTTTTTTTTTTAATTCCTTGATTAAAATAAATGAAAAGAAGAGAGAGAAGAAAATGGGTTTTAACTCATTTGACTCAATGACAGACCTTATGACTTAATGTGCACATGTTAAACCATTCAGCCAACCAACCCCCCAATTTGAATAAATAAAGAAATATTCAAAATGAAAATTTATAATAAAGACTTCATTGAACAAAAATTAAATTCCAAATCTGCACCCAAATCTGTGGGAACACAATGCTAAAACTTTAGAAAAAAAAAAGAAATGCCAAAAAACATCTTAAAACAAAAGAGATATTTTCTGAATAGTACCAGGAGATTATGGTTATGTTTTTTCTTGGTGGTCTTATTATGGCAGCAAAAACAAACTAACTTTTCTTTATGAAACATCTGTCGAGTAATGTTACAAAACCTGTGCAACCAAGAAGAAAGGCCAAATCTAAAATTTCCTGCAAATTTTCATCACTATCTTTGCATGACGGTAAAAAAAACGCAACAGGAAGAGTAGTTTACTGTCGGCCATGCGTTGCACATTATATCATATTATTGATAACAAATGGATTCCGCGTCTTCTTGGATAATTTTCCACTTACGTATGTTTTGGGTTTCTTGAAAAAATCTGTTATTATCACGTTCATGCTATCTAGCTTAGATGTCATACTAGTATTTTATGCCCTCGTATCAGAATATGATAACTGAGATTTTTTGTTAAAGTGAAATTTGACTGATAATATATGATTAATGTCTACCAAGGATGTGGAAGTTTTAGCTTAGGGTGCAGGTATTATAACGATATATGTACTGGTATAAAGTTGCATGTTCTTATATCATATCGCAAACAGATCCTGTACAAATTCAGAGAGAAAGAAAGATAACATATTTAATTCAAAAAGAGCAAGAGATAGAATGTGCTTTAAAGTCCGCTGGACACAAACTAAAGTCATTTTGGGACTAACATATGTTTCAATTTTATTTCAATAATTCGCTTGTGTGTAGGGTCTTTAGCAGTAGGAGGAAACCAGACGACCTGGAGAAAACCCCCAAGACTGGACCAGCGACCCTACTCTTTGTCATTTACCAATCTGTTTCACAGAGGTATTGCAAAAGTCATCTTATTCCTCTGTATAAGATGACTGACTTTTATAATTTTAAGTATGCCGCCGTCACATCACACATTGTTGATCATTGACTCTATGTTATACATAAGACATCGTGGCTTATACTGGTTCAGCTGAATGGTTCCTTTTACTCATTTCATATACCCATTTTCACTAAATAGGAAATATTTTTTAGCCAGATATACTTCAAACACCTTTATATATTTTTTTAATACTTCAAAAAAAAAATGTTCTAGAATTTAATTTGCAGAAGGAAGTAAGTTAATATTGTCAGCTCATTAACTTGCACCAATGTCATCCCTCTCAGTGATTGTAGCAGCCTAGCGAATATTCACTGCTGATCAGTGTGGTTGGTCATTTACAAGTCAGGGATAGAAACCATGACCCAATAACATTATATAGCACACATATTCGACTACTCGACAGATTGTTTCCGCCCTCAACCTCGACTGTTTAAACTGGAAAAACCTAGGTTCTTTATCAAATTTCCTTTCAATCTGCACCAAAATTGTAATGCCAACTTACCTTTTGTTCAGCAGTAAGAGTTAAGGCTTGTAATCTAGATGTCATATTCGACAAACTCTGTTCAAACGCTGCCACCACATGAGACTGTAAATAAATATAAAAAAACATTACACTAAATCTTTATTTAGCTAATATTATTAATTAAATCATGTTTTAAAACATTATTAATAAATGTCATTTTTCATTTGTATTATATGTTAGTGGATATCAAATCACCTATATAATTTGTTCAATTCTAATTGTATGTGATAGCGTTACATTGACATGGCATGTTATTATATAATTGTGATAGGGTTACATTGTGATAGTATGTTATTATCTGTAATTGTAATAATGTTACATTGTGATAGAATGTTCTTATGTAATTGTGATAGTGTTAGATTGTGATAAGACGTTAATATATAATTGCAAAGATTGCGATAACACATTATATATAATTGTGATTGTATTAGATTGTGATAACACATGATTATATTGTGATAGTGTTAGATTGTTATAACACATTATATATAATTTTGATAGTGTTACATTGTGATAGAAAGTTATTATATATAATTGTACTAGTCCATTATTATATGTGATAGTGTTACATTGTGACAGCATGTGACATTATTAAATGTAATTGTATATTATGTGTTATTATTATGTAATTGTTATGTAATGCCATTTTATTTTTCCAGTGTTCAAAAGTTGCCTCCTTTATTCAATATTTGAGTACTGTGTAGTTATATAAGTTTACTCTGTGTATTTATGTTGAAGTCCACTCTGTGTTAATTAAAAGTTATAAGATATCCATATATCAACACTTAAAGAATTCACATACATTGCATCAAAATAACAGATCATTCAACTTTCCCCATCAGAAAGTAATTGATAATTATTCTTAAATCTAAGAACTTTACAAATGGACAGGACCCAGTATCCTTTCAATTTAACAATTTTGAAGTATTTACAACAGATGATTTATTTTTGAAGGCCTTTCCAGATCTAACTATTCTCTCTTCCTGCTATCCAGTAGCATCTTGATCTCAAAACACATCAAAGGCCAAAGGTCGGGACATACAGGTCTATATTTACACATATTGCCACCATACACAGCGACATGTCAGTAAATATTCCCACAATTCAACACCAGCTGTAAACATGGATGGTGTTAGCCGGTTCACGTCCATCGAGTGTGTTGACGATTTTGTTGCCAAAAATATGCAGGATTCAAGGTTTGAGTACCGATATTGGCAGGTTGAACGATTGTATCAATAAACTGATGGTATAATTATAATGTTACTCGTCCATCCTTAACAAGTACATTTTATCTCAGTTATTAACATATTGTATATAAAACATAGAATCTGTTTACACATCACATCAGAGAGAGAGAGAGAGAGAATCATTTTATGAGAGAGGGAAAGAGGAAGGGGCTTTAATGTCCACTAGACACATACAGGGTCATATCTACTAACATATTGTACAATTTTATTTCAATAATTCAAGGATGGCAGAGAAAACCCATGATGTGACCCTATTCTTTGTCACGTGCAAGTGTAGAACCAAAACCATACCACTTGACTCAATGACAACCCATATGATCCAAACAGATAAACAATGAATGGAAGACTTTCAGTTTCTGTGGAATTGAATCGACAAAATGCCTTCTATTTCTGCAGAATCATTCTGATCAAAAGTCTGCTAACTTGGCAAAACCGATTTCCAATCCTGGTATCTTATTAAGTTATAAATCAGGTTAATTGTTTAATCAGGTGAAAATACAGGTAGTAAAATACTTAATCAGAATTCCCACAGGTGAGACGAGGTGAAACTATTATAATAAGGAAATATGATTTATCAATCTCTTCATAGGTACTCATAGGAAAACAGGAATGGAGCAAGAGATGTTACAAAAGTTATATAAAGTTATCATGGTCATCTGTTTTTTTCACCTACATAAGTTCATTTTTATCTATTAATAATATGTGAAATAGATCGGCAGGTGCCCTTTATAACATCAATAGCAATTTAACACTGATCAAAGAAAACAAGCAATACAGAGATTTGGCTTGGATCTACAATGTTTTAAAATTATTCTGAGTGTTAAAGAGGGCTTAAAACATTGCGAATCTAAATCCATGATAATATGCTTCTTTTCAGAACCTTGTGCCTGGATCTTGTAATCTTTCTGCTCAAACCATCCTTAAAACAGTACGAAATCTCCAAAGATTCTTAGCTATGTTAGTTACCTACCTTCCCTAGTTTTAAACATCCGTACAAGTTTGACTTCTGCAAACGATTAACACATCGGTGCAGGTAATAAACTCTACATAATTGTTTCCGCAAAGAAAAAAAACCATATATATTTTGAGTAAATGTCAAAACGAATAAAATATCTCATTAAACAGGAATCCTAAACTGATGAGGTACCTGATGTACTGGCATCGTACCTTTATTATTATAAAGAAATGAGATTTCATAGAGATAATAATAAAATTCTTAATTGCTGACATTTTTACATACGGCTTATGTTATTCGTTAAACCACAAAGATGGGAGATATGAAAATATCAGAAATATACTTGTCAGTTGAACACAGAACAAGCCAATAAATCGTTTGGCATTTCGTGCAGTTGTACGTACAGTCATGATGTGTTTTAGATCGTCATAAGATAAGACTTGATAGCCGTTTAAATGGCAGTAACGGAAGTTTTACACCTTGATTAAGAAATTCACCTGTATATATGGTCGGTACTCGATGAACCTGTGTCACTGTACATCTAACCCCTGTATTCACAATACATCAGCAGTAACCACAATCGGAACATGGATAGGGCTATTTTGCATCAATCGAATATTACAAATAAATATTTATAAGCATAAATAAAAGCAAATATCACAGTTATGAATTTTCAAAGAATACAGATCACTGGCCGAGGTTTTGATCCTGTATTGGACCTTTTGGGGCTATTATTCAGGTTTAGTACGTTGTTCTCATGGATGGGGGTAGTTTGTAGTTGAGACTCTTGGGTTGGAATGTTTAGAAAAGCTGGTTTATTTAACTGGGAATGGCTTGGACTTCTGACTATTTTGGATTGTTCTTTTCAAGGTGGGAAGCAACTCGGGTTATGTACTGTATATTTATTTTTGTGTTGTTTCATATCCGAGACATTTTCTTACTGCTCAATAATTTGGTGTATTAAATAAAAAACAGCGGTGTGAAACTCATCAATTATACAGCTTTGTTTTTACATCAATAATATCTATAATTTTTGCAAATTACCTGCGAAAATATTGCTAAAAATAAAACTCGCACCTGAAACAGATTTCTTGGTTTTAGAAACACAAGATATTGTTCTGACTTTTTCCATCATTAGCGCTCAATTCTATTTTCATCTCGTCTTTTTCAGAGTTTGATTTATGATATTTATAAGATGAAGCTTTGATTATTTTATCTTTATCTGCATATTTATCAATTTTTTTGAGAAAAAAAATGAAGTTAATCTCTATCAAAACATTTTGCACCTGTTTGTAAATATAGAAAAAATTTTGATGATTAGAACTTTCTCCAATTCTTGGTTTCATGTTTTTGTGAGATTTTATGAAATAATAAAGAAAATATGTCAAACTTGACAGACTGGATAAAAAAGAAAATATGCGTAAAAACAATGTAAGAATACACTAATATGCTTCCTTATTATTTTTTGAGCCTCATAAATCTTAGATTAGATGCAACTTGAGTTTTGCTTCTTAAAAACAAATTGAACAAGTTTAATGTTAGATGAAACTCCGTATTACCTGTATTTTAAACAATATTAATTGCAGATTTTAATGGGAGCTGCAGTGGATCAGTGAGTAAGACTCTGGCTTGCTAACCAGGAGGTCTCAGATTCGATCCTCGTGTTGACCGAGAAAATGACAGGATAAGAGGAAATTTCATATCTGTATTTTGAAGAAAACTATATGCAGATTGTAATGAGAGCTGCAGTTGGCTCAGTGAGTAAGACTCTGGCTCGCTAATCTAAAGGTCTCGGGGTCGGTCCCAGTGTTGGCAGAGAAAGTTACATGATTATAAAAGTTTAACAGATTTTCTAAATAAATGAATGTCGAAGTGACAAATTATGGAATAGATTCAACAACTTTGAATATACATGGGATGATGATAGTCGAACAAATGTCCTATCTATAAATATATGTGATAAATAAATAAATATGTCTGGAATTTGTTTTAGCCAGAAACTTAAACATCTGTTATAAAAGAGTTTGGTTCAGTTTAGAAGAGACAGATAGATGCACCAAAGATTTGAATATATACAATCCACCAACGAGAGGGAGAGACTAACATATGGGGCAATTTTATTTTAATAATTAGCTCGGATGTAAGGATCTTTTGTCTTTAGCTGTGAAAGGAAACCACAGAGGACCCAGAGGAAACCCACAAGTTTGGGCAGGCTACCTTACTCCTTGACACATACACCTCGCCAGTTGACTCAATGACAAACATTCTGAGCTAAAGTCAGTTTGGAGTAGCATTATCTCTGAAGCACAGCCAAGTACATGACAATATATTCTATCATGTTTTCAAAAGCCTTTTTCTTTCCCATATTTCACAAAGCAAATGTGACAGTTCTATATTTGAAGATTATCAATCACTAATAACCTCTTATTATATTTCATAACTGATTGTCGCAATTAATCCACTTGACCCTAGGAATTATTTTATTATCAGATAATAACTGATTGCTTTATCTTTATTGATAGATTAATCAGGAATTCTCGGTAGGGTGGACATTTTTATCTAGAATCAGTATTTGTTCCTGATTTTACATGTGCTTCCACTAAGCCAGTCAAATCACCAACCTTTTCTTTATGGTTTTCGATAATCTAAATTACTTTGTTACTAATTATTATTGTCTAATAATTCATTTATATACAACTCATAAAAGTTCACGACCAAAATCCAAGAAAACTCACACTAAGATATTTTACAAATTCAACCTTTTCATTGGCTACGAAATAAAATTTGGGCTGTCATTTTGGTACCGGCCAGCCAAAGAAATGAAATGAATAAAATGGGGTTTAACGTCTTACTGTTCTGCT